GTTTGAAACAGCCATTCATCTTTATGGAAAGAATGAAAAAGCTTATCTGATATGCACTCCTCTCTGTAATGTGCCCGGGTGTTTCAGGCAATATAAAGTGTGTTCACCTGACTGGCACATGGGTCTAGATCCTCAAAGGTGTTTAGGCACTTAGCCCCCAGTTAGGGCTCTAACTCTCACTGATTTCAAGGGGAGTTAGAGCCTCCCAAATACTTTTGATGATCTGGGCTTTGGTGTTTTGCGTTGGCTGTAAGTGATTGGCAATGTAGGATTTAGCGCTGGTAAAAGAAGTTCATTGTGGCAACACTAAATTTGGGGAAGGAAGAAGCAAAACCCACATATATCATGACCAGAATAAGCACAAATTGCTTCACACTGCCCTGACAACGACCCTCAACCCTTTCCCAAAGAGTTCACCTGATTTGGACAATATTGCTTATGCTCTGCTGCTTCTTTACCAAGAGTACCAACTGGAGTGGAGTTTTCTTTGGGTGTGTGCATCCGTACTTGGAGAAAAGGACCGAGACCACTGCTTAATTTCATGCAGGCCAGTGAACTGGCACCAGATGGTAATAAATTGAGGACATGGCTGACCTGATCGAGGACTGTACCACTCAACTTGAAGTTAAAGATATACAACTGCCTGCATCGTAAGTGTAGACATACCCTTTAGATAATATTTCACTGGGAAGAACTGCTCCTGCAGGCAATATTAATATTTATTACTATTGCTGACCTTTCCCATGCCTCTGTGAATGCTGAGTGGGTTAAAAGATGACAGCAGAGCCATAGCAAGGGGGAGCAAGTGGGACAACTGCCCCCAGCACCAAAGTGGAGGGGCACCAACAGGCACTGCCCAGCCGGGGTGGGGTGTGGGATGGAGCCGTGAGCAGCTATTTGGGGGGGAAGCACAGGGATGGGGGCTCCCACCGCTGCTTGCACTCCCAGGCAAGCATAAGGGGGGGTGCCCCCCAGATCGGTGCATGGGGCGCGGGCGGGCTGCTGCTGTGGGCTTTGCCCTGGGCGCCGAACTTCCTTGCCACGGTACTGGATGACAGCTACCCAGTCCTAACTAGCAGCACCAGAAGTCCCTTCCAACAGAAATCTGATAGAGCTGATAATGGCCTTTGCTTCCACAACTGAAGATAATAAGGAAGTCGGGAAAGTATTGAGATGTATAGGAAACTGAATAGCGAGATTCATTTTATGTAGTTAAGTCACTGTAGATCTAATTCTCTTTCCAGAAATCTTATTAATGTTATCTTGTTACCTCATAATGCATATAGCCAATGTGCCAGGACTGGCAAAACATAATTAGCCCTTGCTAGAAAATTAGTCATATTTGTCATTCTTGCAAAAATTAACAGCATATACAGTTACGCTAATGACTTTATTTCTGTAGACTCCATTCGCCGTGTATGTCTTGTTCTTGGTGTATAATGGCTACAGTAATCATTTCTTTTCCCCACTAATGTGTTCAGAAGTGGATGCTTTGTTCGCTAGATGCCAAGACAATCCCCTGATTGTTTTCTCTCTCTCCTTCTGAAGCTGCTAACTAGCCTGTAGGTGATTTTTTACTGAATATATTTTGCTGATTCTGGTTTCTTCTTTCCTTCCCCTTTATTGTCTCTGGGGTGGGTGATGTGATAAAATCTGGCACTCTTTTTATCAGGGAAAAAAAAAAAGCATTCTTCATCTGCTGCTGTTTTACATGTCCCTTCTGTCTATTTAGTAGCCTTTACTTGTGCCGTTCACTGTTGTAGCTGGCCTGTAAAATGCTGTAAGAGGTAGAGTGTCTGCCCAAGTCTTTAACTAAAGGGGTTTTTTTAACTCCCTATAGAGGACGAACAACAGTTTCCAACAGTCGAGAGCCTACTTTTCAATATTTCCAATGATGCTGTTTTATGTGTGCTCCAAAGCATAAGCAACATTGCCCTGTCAGTAAAGTCCTTTCTAATTCTTTTTCATCTTCCCCAAGGGAGTCCTCAGTGGCCCCTTGGAAGTCTTAGCAACCCTTTAATTCCTCCTACTTTGGTCCTCGCTCCTGCTTGTGGCCTGCTGTTGTACCAGCTCTCGGGGCTGAGAAAATGCTGTTCCTTAATCAAGCAGAGCAGTGGCAGTTGAATGACATGAAGCATTACCTACCTGCAGGGGCTAAGTGCGCATGCTGTTTCTGCAGTGTTATCAAAAAATGCTCCCATGAATTTGTTCAAAATCTGCCTTTAACCAACCCTGGGGAAAAAAATGGCCCAAAAATGATAGTATGAAAAAGTTTCTACAAAAATGATACAATTACCAGCTGAGACAGAATTCAGACAGTTTTTTGAGGACATTGTACCGTGCAATTTTGCAGTACAGTGGGACAGAATAAAACCCTGACTGCTCATCTTCTCCTAGTCATTTTGAGAAATCTATCTCAAAATGTGGATAGAAAACTGGCAGAGAAATGAGATGAAAGGAACAGGTGCATGTGAGCAATGTCTGAAATGTGTGTTACATTTGTCATAATTGGGTTGCCAAGAGCCAGAGCCAGGTACTGTCCTGTGTACAAAGTGTGACAGCATAGAACGGTGACAGATCCTGTTACGATGGCTTATAATGGTGTAATATGGTAAAATGGTGTAGCCAATAGTGACGTAGTTGGTAGAACGGTGTAGTACGTTCAGACCCACAAAACAGAGCAGAGAGAATAAGTATTATCATTTTTAAATGTGGCAAGGTGTTTGTCAGAGCAAACACAGTAATCCCAATCACGATTTCTCAATGCGTTTGTAAAGCACCCATTATTATGATCTCTTGGTGCCGTTGAAGACAGCCAATTCGCTGTCAGTGCTGATAAAAACGGGAAGTCCACAAGCTCCCGAGTAATGTCACTGCTTCTTAAAAGTGTCAGGGATTAAGGATACCAGCAGACACACTGCTCTGTCTGTAATGCTGCTATGCCACAGGGCCAACATCCATGTTGGGTGCAGGGGCTAATACTTACCAGTCCAGATTCTGGAACATAAGTGTGGATGTATAGCACATGGCTAAGCCCATCAGTCAGGCACTTTGAAAAAAAAAATCCTATTTGAATAATTGTCTGTGAAACGTGTCCCAAATTCTGTTCTTTTCTTCCCTTTCTATTGTGTGTGCGAGGAGGAAGGGAGAGGCTTCTCCAAGCCAGCATGACACTAGCATGTCCAAATAGAGTTTCTGGAAGCATTTCTTGCTCCAAAATTCAAGTGTCTTAATGGTTTGTGATGTATCTGTGATGAATATTCTGCTTGATCTTACAGCAAACAAAACAGCTGAGAGTCACAAAGGCAACAGCACCACAAGTATAGACATCCAAGGCTTTTTTAATCATCACATTTACTTAATCTAATATCCCAAGTGCATTACAAGATGGTAAGGTACAGTGGGGAGCAGCTTTACTCTTGCTTTGATTAAGTCTATTCCTGCGCCTTTGACTGAACTAAGCAATTCGTCTTGTTAATTCTTGCTCCAAGAATTAGGACTTGTATCACACATTGCCTAGAACAGGCCTGAGCCTATACTAATGACTAAATAATGCAAGTTTCATCGTGGTTCTTGTTTTTTATCATATAGGTGCTTGGGCTTTATCTGATTCAGAATATCGGCCTACTGTATTGATTAAAAGGGAATTCCCTATAGCCAGTATGCAATTATCAAACACATGCCCAAAGGAATCCCCTTAATCAAGATGATCTGTGGAAGAAGTATTATTTGTAATACAAATGCTTTTGATCAGGAGCTTTTGATCAAGACAAATGGAGGACTGAATTAACTGAAGATTGAACTGAGTGGAAAATGCTCTACTTGGATAATTTCAGGGGTCAAGCCTGAACATTTCTTTCAAGTGACAAAAATTGATCCACTCATTTATAATAAAGAATAGACATTCCAGCTTGGACTAACATATTTTTATTGATTACTGTCATTGATATATATTACATACTAATCATGAGATGCATTCACAACACAGGAGAAATGGGGTTACTGGCATATAGCTTCATGGTAGCCACTTCAGTTGAAGATTTTGTATCCGACCTGAAATCATATGTCCTATTATTAAAATATCAACCCATCTAAAAAAAAATCTCTCCTAGCCTCTCCTATTCATTTGTTTTCCATGACCTCTGTTTCTACTCTATTTTGGATCTCTCAGTATCAAAGAAGTCTCTTGGAATAAGGCAGTAATTTTCTTCTTTTTTTGCAAAGGAATACCACTAGAAGAGTTAGAGATCTAATCAACCCTGAAATTTAATTATGCTCGAGTTCACGGGGCCAACAATCATTTTAGTTTAACAGGGGGTGACCATTGCTCAGAATGATCGTTGTCAGCTAACACGATACTAGATGTGATTTGGTTATGTCCTCACATGCTGCTAAATTGTGTTCTTACCCCATTCTGAAAGCAATTTTGCCCCTGTTCAACTCAGGGTATGGCCATACATGCGTATGGACCCATTTGAAAATGGCAGTGACTGTCATGTTTTAATTGTCATGTGTTGATAAACTGGGAACGATCCAACTGAAGCAAAAGCACTTCAAGTTTATTAAGGCTTGAGGAAGCAGAGTTGCTGTTGAAGTATATTTGCATCATTCGCTGCTGGTCCACACATAACAAGTAGAACGTAACATCTGCTCCCCTTTTGAAATGCTCCCCTTTGGAAAAGGCTCTGTACCCTCATACAATCTCTGATCATCCTATTCAGATATGATTACATTTAATAACAATTTGGAGATTCATAAATGTTAGGGGCTGGAAGGGACCCCTTGAGATCGTCAGGTCCAGCCCCGCTGCACTTGGGCAGGAAAGACCGCTGGGCTCAGATGACCCCAGCAAGGTGAGCATCAGAAAACTGTATTTGTAGAGAACAGGAAACTCTGTTTGACCTCATGAATGAGATGTTGCTACTTGGCGGGATTTTTTTTTTTGTAAATATGCTTTACTCATGTTTTTTTCTGCAAGTGCTAAGATGTTGTCTTCTGAATTAAATTCTTTGTTGTCAGCATCAGATTTCCAGAGCAGTGTGTCAAAGCATGTCTTAGTATAGCAATTCGTGACCACTCGGCTTAGCTCCTACTCCGTGGAACTGGATCTGGGAACCAGCTTGAGAATGATTGGTTTTACAGGATTGAGGAATCCTTTTGAATCCAGCTTCAGAGGTATCTGCAGAGATCAAGGGGAGAGAAAAATCATGTAGATCTCATCAAATAGAATATACAGAATTAATATCGGGGCATAGGAGATCGTTTGCCCTGGGGCGTGGAATTAATACTTCAAGCCTATTCAGGAACACAAAGCCTCATCAGTAAAACTAACTATCTATATCACAGACCTCTAAGTTCTCCTGGTCTGCACTTGGCAACTGGATCTGTACTAAACACAGATGGTTCAATTCACAGGTGCTTTCAAGGAAACTTTTGGTACACACAGATCTACTTCCCACTCCTGGTTTTTCTTGATTTATAGATTTAAATTAAGCTCAACTCTCCAAATTATTTTTTTTCTGAAACAGTCAAACTTTGCCTTCTTTGGGGTACAAAGTGGGACCAAAATTTGCATGGAGGGCTGCTGTTCCAGTCCCTCTGCCTTACTTATGCTTCTATCTATTAGTATGCCTTTGTCACGGTACAACAGTACCGTAAGGACGCCTGTTTGTGAATTGTGATGACAGGTGGCTTTCATATATATTGTGTCCCTCTCAAGAAAAGCTGGTTTGTTTCCTGCTAAAAATGGTCAAAGTCTTTGACCTTCATATTAGCCAAAGGAATTAACTCTCTCTGGAAGTCTGGTAGCGCTTTGACTCCAGGAAAGGCCATGCAGACACCAGTAAAAGGCAAGAAAAAATGGATTTATATGGGGCCCCTTTACTCAACAGATGAATGCTTATGGTTTTACTCCCAGAAAGTTCCTATTAATCTGACCAGAGACAGGAGCAACAGAAACAAGGAGTCCTATTGATGCCATGCAACTCAACAGGGGTCGAGACATTTCATTTCTGTGTGGTATACATGGAGTTATCACTCAACTGATTCATCCTCTTCCCTCTCCTTCCTATACTCGAATTGTATGCCTCTACTTGTTCTCTCTTCCCTTCCAGAATAGTCCCATTGCATGTTTCAGAATAACTCTCATTTCATGCACGGAACATGGTTTACTCCCGTATAGTCCGACCGCACATTTTACATCCAGTGTGGCGTATTTCTCTTGCACTATGTGCCGTACTTTTAGGCAAATGAATTATGTAGCAATTTGCAGGGACAGTTCTAGTAAATAACCACACACTAATCTGGGTCCTCACCGGGGTTTCTTCGCAGGTCTTGAAGGTGAAATTCTGAACCAGCCTGGCAACAGCAATTTTCATGGCGAGGAGAGCAAATCTCATTCCAATGCAGTTCCGGGGGCCAGCTCCAAAGGGCAGGTACAAATAAGGATCCATGCTCTCTTTGTTCTCCTTACTGAACCTGGTTCCAGAAACAAGAACATGAGAGTTTACAGGAGTAAAAGTTCAGGCTTCCTGTAGCTCACTTGACTTAGCCCCTGGTGTAGCTCTGCCTATTTCATTTGCAATGCCTATCTTAAAATATCAATGTATCAGCATGCACTACTGATCTCTACTAGATGCAAAGTCAACCTTACTCAAATGTGTGCAGTCTTATCACCCCCCACCTAATGATTTGTGGCCAAGGGCACAAGTCAATGGAATCTCCATAAATTGAAATGGAAGAAACCCCATTAATATTTATGGATAAGACGGTCCAAAATTATATCTGCATTTATGACTGTGAAAGCTATACGGCCATAGAAACACGACAAAATTCACATGATTGTCAAATGATATCAGAAGTGATTGTTAACCGTACACAATAAAAACAAAGAAACAGTGACTGGTCCTGGTACAATCCTGTGGAGATGGTAGGTCTTTGAAATTTATGACTAAGGGTCCTAGGCAAAGCTTTTCCAGAGTGATTAAGTATAATATTCACCTTCCAATGGCTAACAATGGCATAATTTCACATTGCACTGATCTCAGTTATGGTATGGTCTTTCATTTTTCTGGCTACTGTGACTGTGTAACTACAGAGAGACTTTAAACCATTAGGCCAGGTAAACTGTGCCTGTATATCTGGTATAGGTGGCTATGTTATAGAAAGGAGTGGCACTTTGGCAAAATAAGCATTGGTTATGTTATGCGAAAGAGTAATAGAAGTCCGAATTAGTTGCTCATGTTACTATGGGCTTATGCTCTTCGAAAAGCTGGTTGGAATTTAACATTTTACATCAATGGAAACAAGCTCATGGTGTTTCTTTATGCAGTTTTATTGCAAACATGTAGGAAGATTAAACATGACAGGTCATTTAATTCTAAGAAATGGATATTTAGGAATAAATTACAGAGATGCATGTGTATTACCCGTTCCCTATGAAGAAAGATCCCGTACCTTTCAGGTCTGAACTCCTCAGGTTCTGGCCAGTATTCGGGATTATGGTGCAGAACATATAGTGGGACCATAACCACCATTCCTTTCAGAACGCTCATTCCATTTATTTCTACATCTTTCTTACAGACCCTTTCAATTCGTCCTCCAAAAGGAAAAAATCTGAGGGTTTCATTCAGTGTCATGTCAAGGTAGTCCATCTGCATCAGTACATCGTATGTAAGAGAATCCTTCGGTGAAAAGGGAAAATGTTTGTCAGGTAAGTGAGAGCCTTTGTCACCTGGGCAATGCAAAGACCACTATGTCTTCCTATTCATCTTCTATCTGAGAAACAGTAGTGAACTGAACACCAGGGGCAAAGCTAAGAAGTTGCCTTGATTTGTATCTTTCTAAGCAAAGTGGCTTACCAAAAATTGGGAGTCTTTAAGAGAAAGCTGGATAGGCATCTGGCTGGAGTCATCTGACCCCAGCTCTCTTTTCTACCCAGGCAGGGGGTCGGACTCAATGATCTGTTGAGGTTCCTTCTGACCCTAGCATCTATGACTCTATAAATCTTAGTGAACCATTAAACCAACTTAACGTCCATATGAAAAAAAAAGTTTGTAGTTAAAATCAGCTATTTTGATTGCCTTGGGTATGATCAAGTTGCTGAAAAGTGGCACCAGTGGAGATGCTGGTGGTATGAGAGTCGAATATAAAAGGTTCTAAGCACAGCAAAATGGTACCCATGAAAAAATACCATGAGTTACTTTATTGGTTTGGTGCGGGTTCAAATTTCCTAGCCCATCTCTCCATCAATATTGGGAACAGCCCTTATCTTCCATTTCTTTCTTCTTAATGTTTGTTCCTGCTTTATGTGTAGCTCACTGTTGAACAGCAGGACTAAGAAAAATAAGTTGTCCCTTGTAATATGAATTGCAGAATGGATTGGTTTTGGTGCAAAAGATATATCAGTGAAGATAAAGACCAAAAGGGAGAGAGAGGCAAACATGTAAATATCCATAAATGTATTCATAAAAATGTCTTTATTGGTCCTGGCATAAAGTAGGGGGTTAGACAGATTTTAATGATTAAATTGTATCCCTGATGTTGTCAGATCAGCTATATCTGCATTCACCCTTTCCATATCCTGCCATTTATGCATATTGATAATCAGCTTGAGTCTCATATACATCATCTGTCATACACTTCATCTGTTAATAGGCATAGCAAGAAGGCTGCAAGGCAGTTAGAGGGTATCCTATAACTGATACTGCATTTAACAAACTCAGCATGGACCTCTTTAGGGGTCAAATATCTGCTTTCCTTTTGATAATCTCACTTAGAGCTGAAATCTTTCAGTGTGACCATCTGAATTTCCAAAAGATAGATGAGTAAACACATATTATGACTGTACTTTTAGTGCAATCATTTAATCATGTTAAAGATCAGAGTGGTGGGCTGGCTGAACTAGAGATGAAGGATTTCCTATAAAGAGACTGCACAGTCGCTGAGTATCCAACTTTCTTACCTTATTCAGCAAAACTCTATCTACCTCCTCCTGCAGTTTCTGCTGCACATCAGGATGGATTGCCAGTTCATAAACTAGGTACCTAAGAGTGGAGCTGATGGTCTCATATCCAGCAAAAATAAAGATAATTGCTTGTGCTAGAATTTCTATATCAGTCAAGACTGTAAAGAGAGAAGAAAAATATGTATAAAAATGCAGTATATACTGTAGACAGGCAGTGGTCTTTGCAGCATAATCATTTTATAGTGTTACCTTTAGATGAATGACTCAACCCATTGCTCACATGACCGTTGTTAGATCTCTGGGAGTCTATCATCAGCTGCAGGAAATCCACTCGGTCCTGGGAAGAGAAGTAACCATTTAGATGGGAGTTGTCAGTAAAGCAACCAACTTGGTTCCCAGTTCTAACAAAGAAAGCTCAGCAGGGCCTGAGCCTGCAAAGTAAGCCTCTTTGATGCAGATTGTAGGGTAGCCTTGCTAATCCAATATAGGAAAAAATAGTAATTGTATCACAGTAAATGATGTTTTGAAGACCCCCCCCATATGTTTCTATAAGCAGCTGGGGTTGGATAAAGGAAGTCCACTATGAGATATTAGTTTGATTTCTGATTCTTATTTTGAATGAAGACAACATCTTTTGCTGGGAGAGGGGAGGGAAGGAAGGAACCTGCCAAATACTAGGGATGTGCAATGCTTCAGGTGCTGATTTGATTTGGAGGAGATTCGGCCTGATACAGTGGCCAAATCTCTGAGTCTGAATAGAATCAGGAAACCAATGACAAGGTCCGAATTGATTCAAAGCTCCCTGAATCAGTTCAGAAAAGATTTGGAGAGCTTCGGCATTTTGGGCAGTCCCCGCTTGCTACCGCAGGGAGCTGGACACGGACCCTAGGGGGCGGGAGATGGGGGTGAGGACGATAGGGGGACCCCCACCAGGCCCCACCCCTGCCTGCTCCCCCAGCCTCCCTGAGCACCCCCC